GTGAGAAATAGTGCACACTGCTCTTGTTGTAACTCCATGTGGCATTTTCTGAATACATTGGGAGGGTCACCTGAGGCTTTGTGTAAGACGACTTCTGTTTTCTGTTCAATGTTTCTCAGACAGAACTGTTCACTACCACGGCTGTTTCAAGAAGCCAAAGAACTCTACTGCTGACTTCCTGATCCAGACCTCTGGGCCGACACACACGCCTCAGCAGTGTATCGAGACCTGTACAGATCAGGTTCAATTCACAAATGCTTGTATCCATCCATAAAAGTGTGTTTTCTTTAGGGTGTCATTAGACTACAAAAACATAATATGCTTTATGAATAATACTAGTAATACTACTTCTGCTACTACAACTACTACTAATACAGAGCCAACCACTAATATTGGCACCCTTGGTAAACATGAGCAAAAGTGGCTGTGACAATAAATCTGCATTGTTTATCTTTTTGATCTTTCATTCAAAAAATTCACAAAATTCTAACCTACCATTGAAGTAAAAAAAATAGAAAGTGGGGGGAAAATCTTATTATGAAATAAATGTTTTTCTGTAGTTCACAGTCGTGGCCTAATGGTTAGAGTCTGACTTGTAACCCAAAGGTCGCGGGTTTGAGTCTCGGTACCGGCAGGGATTTTTGGTGGGGGAGTGAATGACCAGCGCTCTCTTCCACCCTAAATACCACAACTGAGGTGAGACCCTTGAGCAAGGCACCGAACCCCCAACTGCTCTTGAATATGCTGAAACCTTCCTGAACAACTTGTGGTGATGTAGGGGCTGTTTGATTTTGTTTTAGGCTTTCTGACCCCAAGACTAATCTCTGCGATTCTCCAGCTGTGATCCTTGGAGATTCTTTGGCCACTCAAAGTCTCCTCCTCACCTTGCAGTAGGACGATATTAACACACATCTTCTTCCAGGCAGATTTGTAATATCTTTAGTTGATTGGAACCGCTTAATTATTGCCCTGATGGTGGAAATGGGGATTTTAAATGCTTTAGCTATTTTCTTACAGCCACTTTCTATTTTGTGAAGCTCAACAATCTTGTTCTGCACATCAGAACTATATTCTTTGGTTTTACTCTTTGTGATGGATGATTAAGGGAATTTGGCCTTTGTGTCCTTCTATTTATAATCCTGTGGAACAGGAAGTCATGGCTGGAGAATTTCATGCTCCTAGTCACCCTGGTGTGCTAAAATTTTTTAAAATATGAATGGGAATATACTTCAGAGATATTTTACTCATAAGAATTTCTAGGGGTGCCAATAATTGTGGCCAACATGCATTGGAGAAAAGTTTCCCCAATTTCAATTGTTTTACTTCAATGATAGGTTAGAATTTTGTGATTTTTTTAAATGAAAGATCAAAAAGATAAATGATGCAGATTTATTTTCACAGCCACCTTTGCTCATATTTACCAAGGGTGCCAATATTAGTGGAGGTTCATGCTCCTAGTCACCCTGGTGTGCTAAAATTTTTTAAAATATGAATGGGAATATACTTCAGAGATATTTTACTCATAAGAATTTCTAGGGGTGCCAATAATTGTGGCCAACATGCATTGGAGAAAAGTTTCCCCAATTTCAATTGTTTTACTTCGATGATAGGTTAGAATTTTGTGATTATGATAAATGATGCAGATTTATTTTCACAGCCACCTTTGCTCATATTTACCAAGGGTGCCAATATTAGTGGTCGGCACTGTAAGAATATAATAATAATAAAAATATGTATAAAATATATTATTATTATTAATTGTACAATTAATAAAAACAAAAACATGTTATTAAAATAAATACTAAATTATTATAATCGTTTTGTTATTAATAGTAATAAAAAATAATCATCAACATCATCATTATTATTGGGGCCAAGCATCAAAGGTACATAGTTTTTATTATTAATAATAATAAATGTTAACAATGTTAGTAATAAAAATAATGATAATGATAATAATTTCATTATTTTATCTGACACCTGTAAATTGTGTGTGACTTTATCAGGACCTGCCATTGGCCCTTTTGAGAGGGCACGACTGTTTCTGCAGCCATGTCCCGTTTCTCTTCACAGTCCATATGAGTGAACAGGAATACATGTGTGAGAGGGGCAACCAGACAAATCACACCTCTCCTTATGACCTTGACTACTACTGGGTGTACAGTACTCCTGTGCTAGGTAACCTACAACATGTAACAAACTTTATGGCTCTTTAAGAACTAATGCTGCAACAGAAAAGATCTGTTCTATCAGATGCAACGTGCAAAGAAAGGAGATTTTTGCCCCAGAAGTCCAGCACTCTCGTGGCCCTGTCCAGCTTTCCAGGGGCAGGAAACACCTGGTTACGCCACCTGATTGAACTCGCCACTGGATTCTACACCGGCAGCTATTACTTTGATGGATCTCTGTACAACAAAGGTGAAAGTCCACTAATAACAGTTAAACACTCATCACTTTCAGCTCTGAGATTTATTATGAGTTTGAAGGAATGAGAAAATGAACTCATCAGAAACACAAACACTTTTAGATATTGCCCATAAGAAAGAAAATCAACACTGACATCTCTTAAACATCTCAATTGTTAGTCCTAGATTGAGAAGCAAATGGAGATTTTTCTCCTCAGAAAAAGTGGTAATCTCACATCTCTGCAGGTTTTAAAGGAGAGAAGGATTACTGGCAGAGCGGGAGAGTCATCTGTGTCAAGACTCATGAAAGCGGCCAGAGAGAGATCGAAATGTTCGACTCAGCCATCCTGCTGATGCGAAACCCCTATCGTTCTCTAATGGCAGAGTTCAACCGCAAGTGTGCCGGACACCTGGGCTATGCGTCAGATGTTCACTGGAGGAGCAAAGGTGCTAATGATAGAAACAGCATTTATTTCATACTAAAACATTAAAAAAATCAAGATGCTTCATATTTCTCCTCCTCCACAACTGTTTTTTTCTTTGAAAAACCAGGATTTCCACTGTCTTGGAAAACCAGGACAAATGAGGAAACCTTGTGCAGCCAAGATTTTATTTATTTTTAAAATCGCAATTGCATTTTTTTATCAGAAAAATCCCAATTCGTTTTTTTCCCCAAGCCATGCAGTCCTAGATTTAAGCTTGTGGGAGATGCTAGTTTAGTTTTAACAATGATGCTTTTTTTCCCTTCACAGAGTGGTCAGAGTTTGTAGACAGCTATTCATCCTGGTGGGTGTCTCACGCTCTGACCTGGTTGCGGTTTGCCCACCGCCTGCTGGTGGTACACTTTGAAAATCTACAGAAAGATCTAGTCCCTCAGTTAAAGACCATCAGCGCTTTTCTGAACACCAGCATTTCCGAGGAAAGACTTCTGTGCACAGAGAGCAACAGAGACGGCCATTTTAAACGCTCTGGATCTCGTAGCCTGACCTTTGACCCCTTCACCCCTGAGATGAGAGCTCGTATAGACGAATACATCCGCACGGTAGATAAAGCCCTCAGAGACAGAAACCTCAGCGGCTTGCCACAGGAGTTCATGCCCAGGTGAGGATTTGTGAACGCAGCTGCTGCCCTCTGCTGGAGGGAGGACACAGAAACACAAAGTGCCTGAGTAAAAACACAACTGAGTTTTTGCTGTCTGTTGTTTTATTTGTGGTTTATATTTGTGGTTGCGCTGTCACCAGTTTTGATGGCATTGTGGAGACTGTGTATAGTTAGTATGTTTTATCATTAAACCGATCAATTCTCATAGTATCAGTTTCAGTCCATTTTAATATTATCCTTAAGTAGATTACACTATCCTAAGGCATTTCAAGTGCCTTCATACTTAAAATCCAAAGTGTATTTATTTGAAAACTGCGTTTCTGATGTGCGTTTGGAATCTCAGGGTCAAAGCATCTTCAATGGACACAGGTGCGTTCATTCCATCAGGGAAAAATGTTCCCTGTTGAACAAAGATGAGACCAGAGTTCTTGCTCTTGTGTGATGAACAGTTTGTGTCCTTCGGTCATTTTATTACTACAATGTATCAAAACCATAAATCTTGAAAGGTTACAGCACTGACATGAGCATATTTAGAGAAACTCAGACAGATAAGACGACCAAGGAAGAGCAAACCTGGCTTTGCCTGAGAGCAATACGTGCTGGACATTCATTTGTACACAAAATCACAGTCATAAAAAGAAAAAAAAATACTATTTTTAGCACGGGTTTGACTGGATAAATGTATCTGCTGATGCACTATTTTCTTCTTTCTCCATAGTGGCAATTAGGAAGACTTGAATCTTTCATTTTGCCGACTACTAAAGGATTGTAGTGTGCTGTGATTTTTTCAGAGTTTTTAGATAATTAGTTGGTACATTAGTCCTTTAGATTTGAGTGCTTCACAAATTATAATTAGTGCTTAATGTCACTGCAGCCTGAAAGAAAAATGCTGTGCCTGCAGAATTATTCTGTGCATGACAGGTTTTCTCGCATCACAGGCTGTAACCACTAGCTACATTTACAGGGAAGACTAAAAATCTGTTCACAGAGGACCAGCATGTCGATCAGAGATATTTCAAAGTGTTTATCTCTGTATACATGCCAGATGATTGTCTTTGATCTCAAAGTTGCAAACTTGGCATCTTGATTAAGCTACATACAAATGTAATAATCCATTAAATAGAATAATTATTGCCATTATTATTCAAGATTTTAAAATCTTTATGAAAAGCTGTGCATTTAAAAATGTAAAACAGTTTTTGAAAACCAAAATCACAAACAGATTTATTATATTTGCAACAGATTTAAAGGGGTCATATGATGCGATTTAAATGTTTCCTTTCTCTTTGGAGTGTTACAAGCTCTTGGTGCAGAAAGAAGATCTGTAAAGTTGCAAAGACTAAAGTCTCAAATCCAAAGAGATATTCTTTATAAAAGTTAAGACTTGTCCACCCCCTCCTAAAACGGCTCATTCTAACACGCCCCCACGTCTACGTCACTGTGTGGGAAGATTTGCATAACGCCGCCCAAATGTTCACGCAAAGAAAGAAGGCCTAACTTTTATTCTCGTTGTAGTACTGTTGTTGCCGGCGCCGGCGCCATGTCGTGGAGATGCTGTGTGTTTCGTTGTGAAAGCGAAACTACTTTGTTTGGCCTTCCAAAAGAGGACTACAATGGGTCTGTGCTCAAAGGCTGTTCTCTAAAGTGGGGCAGTTCCAACTTTGCAAGGACAGTCTGGTGCTTCTGTTAGCAACGTCATATGACCCCTTTAAAAACAGATGAGAAAGCAACTCTAACAAATGGCACAGATGAACCAATGGAACATCTTATAGCTTCTGGATCTGTGACATACGGAGAAAAACAACTCCATGATAAGGATTATTGAATGGCCAGAATGAACCTGAAGTTTCAATAATTATTGAAATTATTTCAAAATATGATCATATAATCAAAAATGACCACTATAATATATAATATAATATAATAAAATAATATTCGTGATTTAACTTTCTAGCAAAAACAAACAAAACAGAATATAAGTCAATGTAAATGGTACAAAGCTACTTTGAAAGGCTTTCAGTGGAATAAGGTGCTTTTTGCAGCCAGATGGTGTATTTATGACATCTACCAGCAGGGGATAACTGGGCCAAACCTTGACCCCTCAAGATTTGCATATTAAAGTTGCATATGAAAAACAAAATTTTGAAGCTTTTTCTGGTTTTCAGTACAAACAAATTACTTCAGAGAATTCTGCCATTATAACATGAGCACATTCCTCGACTCTCTCCTGCGGGGTGCTTCTTAAACTGAGGCTGACTTAAAAAGAGGCTGACTTAAATAACTTTGGCATAAGGTTGCTCTGTTTGGTCTCTGCCAAACACATCCAAGACAACCTAACACGTCAAGCAGTCCGTCCATCTGTTAAATATTGTGTGACGGTAAACCTGCTGGAACAATCCATCACCATGTGACACAATTCAGTGATTTGATAATGTCCAGCTGTAATTTCCTCCTACAGAGCACCAGTAGGCTCCAGGACTACAGAAAGAGATCTGTGAAGTTCTAATTACATGTTGTAAACAAAGGAACAAAAGAAGGAACATAGAAATAATCATGACAAAAAAAAATGCTAAAAAGGAGAATGTGCAAAAATAGCACAAAAACGTAGATTGTTACAAGGCAGCAATGCAAATTAATATTGGTAATATTGCTAACTACTAATGTTCTAGAACAGTGTTTTTCCAATGAACTTATAAAATATTTAATTAGAATATTATGGTAAAAAATATTTTTATTGTAAGATATATATTTTTATATTTCATTCT